GTTTAGGGTACAATTCCAATCGCCCAGTAGGACTAGGTTCTTAGTGTCTGTGAGGTACTTAGGAAGATCTGCAAAAAAAATCATTCTTGTTGAGTAATCCACCAGGGCATACACTGGGGCCACTGCTCAATCTTCCTCGGCCACTGCCAATTTCATCCAGGCCCAACGACCTTCGATGTTTATACAGGAGTCGATGATTTCCACATTTAAACTTTTATCTATTAGGATGGTTACGCCCCCTCTGGTTCCGACTACAGGTGACCATAGTTGGGATCCCCCCCACCATGTTGAAATCTCAGTTAACTTGCCAGGTCCTATTTTCATTTCTTGTAGTCCAATGATTTGAACCTTTTGTGAAAAAATCCACAACAACAATCTCAGTTTTTTATACGTATCATTCAAGTCACCAAGTCCACGCACATTCCAGCTAGCAAGTCTAATTTTACTAGGTAGAATCATTCTTGCTAGTTGAACCGCTATGATCTTGGATGCGGGGACTGTGGTCAGGGGATACACCCGTTGCTGGAAGTTGCCGTTTGTGGGCTTCCCCCACTACAAAGTTCAGATTTTTTCCTGCTCTCTGTTTTAGAAGGGATGTTATGAACAAATATATCGTTAGCGTTCCTTCGTTGTCTGATTGATCCAACCATACCGTCACTTCTTTTGCAGACAGACCTGGATGCAACCTAATCTCATTGAGGATGTCTGAGTGGGGGGGGACCAAGTGGTCAAGTTCCACCCAATATATTTTTAATTCATCCCACTTGGCTTTGTTGTCCATAATGTAGGACAAATTCATAAAGGCAATAATAAGTTTCACCTTCCCTCCATCTACGGAATTAGCCAAGTGCTAAGACTGTTTTGGCTCGGGTAGGATAGCCACCTCTCCCAAATTTTGCAGTACATGGATTCTGGTTAGATTGCAAACCATAGTGGGAGAGGGAATACCTTTAAAAATAACTGGTGGTAAGACCAACGACTCAGTTTTAGATTTTACTGTGAGGAATCTAACACACTGTCCATCATGAGCACATATCACTGAGACCAGGTAGGAGGGGATTGTGTCTGCCGCCTTCTCTCCCCTAGTTACCGTACGCATCGACGCCGCCAAGGATAGGGAGCGTCTAACTGTTTTGGCGAGAGAAGGTTAACAAGAGTCGTATTTTTCATCACCACTTCAGGCCACCCTTTACCACTTCAAGATGCAGCCTGCCTAAATAGGTGGTTTTCAGGGTCTTCGGACCTTTCACTACTTTAGGACCATTCAGGTCTGAATATCCTAAATGGTCCTGAAGTGGTGAAAACTCTGAAGACCCTGAAAACCACTTGTTTAGGCAGGCTGCATCCTCAAGTGGTAAAGGGTGGTTTTCATGGTCTTCGGACCTTTCACCACTTCAGGATCATTCAGGATTTTCAGACTGCCCAAAACTCTCACTTGACCACTTCAGAACACCCTTCACCACTTCAGGATACAGCCTGCCTAAACAGGTGGTTTCCAGGGTCTTCGAATTTTTCACCACTTCAGGACCATTCAGAATTTTCAGACTGCCCAAAACTCTCACTTCAAAATTCCATTCCTGAATTTTCAGCTACCCGATAACCGCTTGTGTTTTTTTGGCCATCTGTGCTCTACCCCTCTTATTCGGGGAACTCCTGGCATAGACCTCAACATTTTCCCAAACCTCTTCTTCTTCTAATCTGTGACGCACTTTTAGCCCCAAACGTACCTTTCGTGGGGGAGAAGAAATCCGAGTCTTGCTCCTTCAGACCCTCTTCCTCCCTTCCCCCTTAAGGTATGGCTGCTTCCCTGTCCTTGCTGCAAATAAAAATCTTCTTCTTTTTGAGTGACAGGGATTTGGTTCCCATACTTGGCCCGTCGTCGTCACCCTCGTCTGACTGAGATCCCTAAAAAATGACATTTTTGTGCGTTGAACCAAATTGGTAACTTGAAATATCTGAGAATCTGCGAGCCAAAATTTTCACCGCCCGTCCCAAACAGCCTGAGGACCCTGATGCCTCTGTTGAGGTCCTCCTTTCAGGGGATTCTCTGTGTTGTTTCTCGACAGCGGGATCTGGTCCAGGGGGGGGAGGGAGGGGGGTTTTGGCGGGGGGGAAGGGTTCATTGAGGGGGGGGGAGGGCAGGCTTCGTCCCTACCCGCCTTGTTCTGATTTTCTTTTTTCGAACCAAGCTCTCTTCTCCCTCCTTCCTTCCACTTCTCTGTCTTGTCTCGTCTCTTATCTCTTGATCCCTTCGCTCGCCCCCGTCCTCTGTTTCTTTCCTTTTATCCCTGGATTTCCAAATCTTACCCGTCGCCTGGCCAGTACCCTGCTGCTTTCCGGTTGCTAATTTCTTCTTCTTGATGTCTTTGTTACCCTTAGGGGCTGTTTTGTTCGAAAGTCGTATGGTCGCGGAAGTAGCTTCCTCATCTACTGCTCCCTTGTCCTTGTGCCGCATTTTCCCTTTCCCATTCCTTCCGCTCTTCTCCAGCCCTGGCTCCGATTCATTGAGAGCCGTGTCTTCCCCTTCTTGCATTACCATATATTTTGGGGAGGGCACTCCTCCTTGTTTGTTGCCTCTCCCTGAAGTTCCCTTATCCCCGTGATCCGCACTCTTCTGTGTTTTCTCAGTGGTCTTGACTCCCCTCTTTTCCACCGGCAAGGGGGGGGAGGGGGGGGGGGGGGGGGGGGGAGTTATTACCCTTCCCAACTGCCTGATCCTTGTGGGGTTTTGAAGGACGGCCCTTGTTCGTGTCCTTTGGCTGTGATTTGTTCTTTGCTTTGGCCGGGTACAAGTCATCTTCGTCCGAGTGGAAATGTTGTCTGCACACCCGACACCATGGTGTCTGGGCGTGGACGACCTCAATTTCCACATAGCCCCCCTTGTTCATGTCTATTGTTAAATACGGTTTGTATCGGAGTCTCACCTCTGTTTCAAGGTCAAACCGGATGTTGATCAGTTCAGGAGACAAGGGATCTGAGTAGGTTTCGTACTTTTTGAGGATCTTACCGAAAACATTCCGGATCGCTGAAGCTACATAAGGCAGAGCAGCCACCGGAATATACTTACACCTAACCCATAAAAAGTTGTACCTGTGTGCCTCCCTCCATTCGAAAAGCTCATTTTTCGGCATCCAAGGTCGGAAGGAGAGGGAGTGGGTTGTCTCGTCTAGAATGATTTTAACTTCTCTTTTTCAGCATCCATTCAACAATCACCTTAGAGGAGGCGACATAGGTAATTAAGTTATATCCCTCGTTGCGGAACACTCCCCTTCTGGGTGGGGCATCCATCTCCCTACTTTTGGCCCATCAATTTTCGTAAATTCGAATCAATCGAATTTTCACCTTCACTGGGAGTGACTTGGAATCGGGCCCAAAGAGGACCGACACTGCATTCTCCTTCAACCATTCCTCCTGAACCTCATAGAGATCGGGGTTGACATCCACCTTCACATAGTAGTCCTCCTCGATCTCCACCTGGTCGGACAGTAATTTCTCGGGGAGTAGGCCTTCGTTATAACAGTCAGCGATAATCCCTTTGATTTTGTCCTTCTCTACTGGGGTCATGGTCGGGGGGGGGGCAACAGTCGAGGGTTCCCCCATCGCTGCAACTGTCGAGAGTTAGTTGCTCTACCCACTCCTTCTTCACACCACCCCACACCAGAACACAACATGCAAATAAAGAACCAAAGTGCACATGCATCTACTGTACTGCCTCAATATAACTGGGAAAGATGGTCAGAGACCTGGGTTGAGGGGCACAAGATTACCCATACATATCCCTGCCTCTTCAACGTGTGCTCTGCAGAGTCCGCCTTTCGTGTATTCTTTCGGCACTATGACTCCCATGCCGGACATAAGGACGTTGGCTCTTGTACCAGAAAGATGCCCAGGATGGAGCAGACGAAAAGTATGGCGGCCACCTCTAGGGTGGCGATGTTAGAGGTCTTCATGCTCTCTCTCCAAACCCGTCACGGTGGCTGCAATTAGCCCTAATCGCGATAAAGCACCGAAGAGCCGCTAAGGCGGCGCTCGGAACACGCGATTAGCGCTAATTTTCCCAGATCTCCGCGGCCCAGTCTTCCCTTCTGCCCGTTTCCAGATTTCTGATATGCCCCGGTAGCTCCTTTCCCAGGGCCAGCGGAAAGGCTGAGAGTGTCAACAACAGCCACAGGGCCATGGTGGAAAGATGCTCGGTACCGGTAGGGGTAGATGGGAAACGTGTCTGCTCGTTCTGAACGGCTATGAGGTAGGGGCATACTGGAAATTTTGGAGAGGTATCGGTATGGGCATATGAAACATATTTCAGGCCCAAGCGATACCAGGGGGTTTCTGGAAAGATTATTCATTGTCAGAGGGCCGCGACAGAGTAACCTGGCCGTTAGAGGGGCATGACGGAAAATTGTCAAAATTTCAGGGGCATATCGAAAATGTTTCCCAAAATAAAAGTAGGTGCCTGATGTTTCCCCCCCCCCCCCCCCCTCGCCTGATTTTTGCTCCTGTTGGGTGCTATAGTGACCCAGGGATGGAAATAACCTCAAGCGCGCCGTCTGAAACTGGGTGCATCGTCTACCGGTAGTAAAGAAACACCGCCTCGGCAGGCGTTGTCTCATTTTCGTCTCAGGGCATACTCACACCAGCACTATCTGACTTCAATGACTGCTAGGTAGATCTAAATGCATCTGGCCGCAATTCCGTCGAAAAATGAGTAAAAAAGTGCTATTGTGTGTGAACATGCCTTCAGACTGGTATCCTCAGGACAGGCAGGCAGGAAGACCAGCAACAGGTAGCTCCTCCTGGGACGATTTTGACCACCAGCAGGACAAACACGCCCACCCCTTGGACGACCATCTTCCCCGCGCTTTGTACGACTTTCCAGCTGTCTCCACGACTTCCGTTCCCGTTCCCGCGCTTTGGACGACTTTCCCATTCCCACCACGGGCGGGGGCCCTGGGCTGGTTGGTGCAGAGACGTGCTTGATGCGGCTGGAGGGAGAACGGGAGGGGTAGGCAGAAGAGTGTGAACGTGTGAGAGCAGCGGGAGAAGGTCCCGAAGGTGGACCGGCGGTGTGTTTGGCGTGGTCCAGTGAGAGGGGGCAGGAGGGGGAGAAGTGTGGGTGACGCGGCAACGAGTCGAGAGGGGAGCAGAAGGAAGGAGGGACGGAGGAGGAAGGGGAAGGACGGAGTAAGGAGAGGAGGAGGGGGGAGGAGGGAGGAGGAGGAGGAGGAGGTAGTGCGTGGGGGTGACAGGAAGAGGATCGATCCTACCTGACTTGACTTGTTAAGTTGACGGGGAGAGGGGGGAGGAGGAAGGAGGAGAAGGACAAGCAAGGAAGAGAGAGGGGGAGAGGAAGAGGAGGCGGAGGAGCAGGCTTGACGGGGAGAGGGAGGAGGAAGGAGGAGAAGAGGCAAGGAAGGAAGAGAGAGGGGGGGAGGAAGAGGAGGAGAAGGCGAAGCAGCGGAATAGGAAGTGAAGGAGGAGGAGGAGGAGGAGGAGGAGGAGAGGGAGGTGTGGTTGATTCGAATGCGAGAGGGATAGAAAGTGCACAGTGCCTGACTGTTTAAGTTGTGGGGAAAGGGAGGAGGAAGGAGGAGGCTGAGAGGCAGCGACGAAGGAGTTAGGTAGGGGTAAGGAGAGGAGGGGGAGGAGGAGGAGGAGGAGGAGGAGGAGTTGGGAGGAAAATTAAGGGAGGAAGTACAAAGCAGCAGCCATGGTGCTCGCGGAGTTGGGAGGGCGCATCTCTCGCGCCCTCCAGCAGATGAACAATAGCACTGTGATCGATGAGAAGGTCTTGAATGAGTGCCTGAACGAGATCACGAGGGCTCTCCTGCAATCGGACGTCCAGTTCAAGATGGTTCAGAGTATGCAAGCTAACATCAAGAAGATCGTCAATCTCGAGGATTTGGCAGCTGGTCATAACAAGAGGAAAATTATTCAGCAGGTAACTATTACTTAGTATGAATGAGGTAGCTGCTGATTAGCACTTGTTACTATTTAGTATACCATCTGATTAGTACTGATTAGTACTAATTAGTGCTAATTAGTACTAATTAGTGCTAATTAGTACTAATTAGTACTAATTAGTCGATTTTCCACGTCACACCTGACGATTTTCTCCTATGCCCCGCAGTGCCGTCTTCGGTCCCGTCCCTTCTCGTTCCCCTCCCCCTGCTTCCCGCTTTGTTTGTTTCTCCCCTTTCCCCCCCCCCCAACACAACGCACTCACGCGCATCGTGAATGAATGTATACAACCTATCTTTTCGGTCCGATACCGTGACGATGACGGTGCGTTGTGCTCTGGGAAATAGAGAGGTAGCTGGTGTAGATTCTGTAGAACACTCAAAAGGGTCCGTACAACGGACAGAAGGAGAGAGAGATTGCTCGATCGATCTAAGTGTCACGGCTCTCTTCCCTCCCGCTTGTCTCTCCGTCCCACACCGCTTATTAGTATTACTTTCTTAAGGCGCATTCACACTCTGCTTTTCCCACTGAATGTGGCAGTATATCCGGTCGGAAACATTGAGGAAAGTCCGAGTGTGAGCATGCCTTTCGATGTCTTGTCGGCCTCACCATCCCCTCCCTTCCTCCCTTACCCCCCCCTTCCCGCCCCCGATCCTCTACAACCCTATTCCATCCCTCGTCTACGTCTGTTCCGCATTTCTCTTGCCTCTCTCTGCCGCTCTGCTCATTTGGCTGCACACGTCCTCCCTCTCCCTTCCGTTCCATTTGTCCGCCTTTTCTTTTTTTTTTTTTCTTTCCTGGTCCGTTCCATTTGTCCTAAAATGGCTCGTGCCGTCTTTTCCTGACCCCTATGATGCCACGTGTCTGCTTTTCCTGACCTCTAAGATGCCACGTGTCTGCTTTTCCTGACCTCTAAGATGCCACGTGTCTGCTTTTCCTGACTGGACCCTAAAGTGGCACGTGGTCTTTTCCTGGGCCCTAAATAAAATGCCACCCGTCCGCCTTTTCCTGATCCTTAAAAATTGCCTGCACAATACCTTTCTCGGCCTTTTGGCCAAGATCGTGTAGTTCTGTTTTCTGATCAGTAAAAAAAAAAAAAAAAANCCACGTGTCTGCTTTTCCTGACCTCTAAGATGCCACGTGTCTGCTTTTCCTGACCTCTAAGATGCCACGTGTCTGCTTTTCCTGACTGGACCCTAGAGTGGCACGCGATCCTTTCCTGGGCCCTAAGTAAAATTCCACCCGTCCGCCTTTTCCTGAATCTATAAAAATGCCTGCACAATACTTTGTTCGGCCTTTTTGCAAAGATGGTGTGGTTCTTCTTTTTGATCAGTAAAAAAAAAAAAAAAAAGAAAAAAAAAAAGCCTGCATGGTTGTCCCATTACTTGCGGGGCTTCAGTCAATCGCCATTCTCCCGCCAATTTTTTCCTTGAGCGGGATCGCAGACCCAAGCCCTCTTCTTTATCCTACCGTCTTCCCCCGAACACAGTGCACCCTCATTATGAATAATGCGTAATATGTAAAGGCCATCTTTGCGGTCCGGTACAGTCATGATGGGTTGCGTTGTGTTCGGGGAAAGAGGGTAGTATGCCGTCATTCTTCATCGGCCCGCCTTCGTTGTTTCTTCGCCTATATATTCCCTCTCTTCTCTTCCTTCCCGCCATTTCTACTGCCTCTACTCACTCCGAACTCCCGCCATTTTTACTGCCCCTGCTCACGCCGAACTCCCGCCAATTGTACTGCCCCTGCTCACTCCGTTTTCCCGCCATTTTTACTGTACTTGCTCACTCCGTTTTCCCGCCATTTTTACTGCCCCTGCTCACTCCGTTCTCCCGCCATTTTTACTGCCTCTGCTAACTCCGCTCTCCCGCCATTTCTATTGCGCCACGTAGCAAAAGTTCTGATAAAAATGGGAGTCGCTCGCTATTACGCCCGACCGATAATAATGTCGCGACTCCGCGCGATAGTGTCCCGACTCCGCTCAGTGGTCGGGACGCTCGTATAAGAAAATTACCCATCCATTGGATCGGATTAGACTTACTGTCTCCATTATCATGTTTTTTTTGTTTTTGTTTTATTTGTGTTTTTTTGTTGTTTTGCTTTTGTTTTACCACACCTTTGTTCTTTCGCTGCGTCCCCTTCATCATCAAGCCTTTTGACTCGTCAAAAAACTGTGTGAAGACTCGCTGAAAGTTCGCTTAACATGCTGAAAACTCGCTTTGCACTTCGCTGCTGGGAAACTTGCTGATGTGTTTTTTTGGTTCTCTTTTTTTTAAAAATCTTGATTGTTCTGTTGTCTTCCTCATCCTCTTGCTGATCTTCTCCTGAGCATCTGCCGTCTTTTCATTCCTTTGGCCATGGTGCCGAATCATTATTGCGTTCACCTCTATTGTCCTCCTCTCCTCCTCCTCCCCCTTCATCCTCCTGACTTTCTTTCTCCTCCTCCTCCTTCTCATTCATCCTCCTGACTTTCTTTCTCCTCCTTGTGTTGTCTTTCTGCCCCTCCTGCTTTTATCCTCTCCCCCTTCTCCCCCTCCTCGTCCTCCTCCTCCTCCTCCT